TTGGCATGGGCTTGACTGTGGTGAAAACAGGAATAGCCACCCTTACATGAGGTTGTGGTAAGTTATGGGTTGGCATGGGCTTGACTGTGGTGAAAACAGGAATAGCCACCCTTAGATGAGGTTGTGGGGAATTATGGGTTGGCATGGGCTTGACTGTGGTGAAAACAGGAATAGCCATCCTTAGATGAGGTTGTGGGGAGTCATGGGAGGGCGCGTGCTTGACTGGTGACAACAGGAATAGCCACCCTTAGATGAGGTTGTTGGGAGTCAAGGGTGGGGACAATCTTGACTGTGGTGACAACAGGAATAGCAACCCTTAGATGAGGTTGTTGGGAGTCATGGGAGGGCGCGTGCTTGACTGTGGTGACAACAGGAATAGCCACCCTTACATGAGGTTGTGGTAAGTTATGGGTTGGCATGGGCTTGACTGTGGTGAAAACAGGAATAGCCACCCTTAGATGAGGTTGTGGGGAGTTATGGGTTGGCATGGGCTTGACTGTGGTGAAAACAGGAATAGCCATCCTTAGATGAGGTTGTGGGGAGTCATGGGTGGGCACGGGCTTGACTGTGGTGACAACAGAAATAGCCACCCTTAGATAAGGTTGTGGGGAGTTATGGGTTGGCACGGGCTTGACTGTGGTGACAACAGGTATAGCCACCCTCAGATGAGATTGTGGGGAGTCATGGGTGGACATGGGCTTGACTGTGGTGACAACAGAAATAGCCACCCTTACATGAGGTAGTGGGAAATTATGGGTGGGCACGGGCTTGACTGATGAAAACAGGAATAGCCACCCTTAGATAAGGTTGTGGGGAGTTATGGGTTGGCACGGGCTTGAATGGGGTGACAACAGGAATAGCCACCCTTAGATGAGGTTGTTGGCAGTCATGGGTGGGGACAATCTTGACTGTGGTGACAACAGCAATAGCCACCCTTAGATAAGGTTGTTGGGAGTCATGGGTGGAATGACTATGAATAAGTATGGATGAATTATCAAGATTAAATTCCTCTGTCTCAAATAATAAATATCTTTTGTTTGTATCTAGAGATTCAATCCGCACATATTCTCAAAAGTACTTAAAAAAGGAGGAAACGGTAAAAGTCAGCAGTATTGCTGTTGTGCTATTGGTAGTAGGGATAGATCATTGTCTATATGGGTAAGTTATCACATGACTAGCATGAACTTTGACCTCTGGCATGTACTATTACATCTCATCACACAGTACATTTTCTGTTATCTGAATGTAGATTTATTTTTATGTTATCAGCTGACTGCCCTGAAGAGACCTTTAGTGATCACACATGATTTATTTAATAACTCAGTACTAGACATCTCATGGTGAGTACATTTGTCAACTTTTACAGCGTTTCTGAGAATCAATCAGACAGTCAGTTAAGATGGTATGTAAATTTGCAAAACACTTTGATTTTTGGTCTAATCTAGACTTGACGGTGCCGTTCCATCAACATGTGCACAGTCTAGGTCATTCGACGAGGGTAAAACACAGATTTTCAAAATGGATAAAATTTTAAAATTTCCATCTCATTCTTTTCTGGACAAATATTATGTAAAATGTATGAGTTGGTCATCAATAAAAAACAATCCAACCTCTATATAAAGACAACCTGTCTATAAAGAGAAATGGTGAATTTTTGGTTCTCAATTGTTCAAAAAGAATGGGTGCGGCTTCTATTAGGGATGCGACTTCTAATACAGATTTTACGGTACTTACTTTTACCATTTTACTTTCCATCTCAGTATTTTGACTCATCACTTTGCAGCGACTAATCAAAATATTCAAATTACTCAATATACAATATGACATCACAAAGATTGAAATGTAGCAACCCTAAATAACATTGATCTTCAGAAACTAAATTCTGTTTTGGGTAAACACTAGTGACGCTACTTCGTGAAATACCAAAATTTGGAATCTAACTCCATTGTATAAACAAAATGTATTCAATTTGAATGTACTTGTATTTCTTTCTATAGGAGTAAGAATGGTTTTGATTTGTTAGTTTGTTCTTGGGATGGTACTGTAGCATTCCTGTCCTTCACAGAGGATGAACTTGGAAAACCCCTGGCATCTGAGGAAAAGGTCAGTCCATGTCAGCTTATTACTAATATACATGCAACTGTAACCCCCTATATGTATGTGGATAGTTTAGTTTTGTTTGCTTTATTAGAAAAACATGTGATTACTGTAATTATAAAGGACAATTCAGTATTCCTTAATTGTACTTCATGCTTCCAATACCTTACATGTATAAGTCATTTAAAACAAAAGAACATTTATTAAGTCCAATACCTGTGAACAACAGTCATGCTTTACCCTACTTTGTTTTCTTTTGGTGAAATCAACTTTTCACAATCCATCATTTTATAACTGATTTTAAACTCTTTTTTAGGCTATGTTACATAAAAAGTTATATGGCAGCAGCATATCAATAAATGACCCAAATCACTATGGCAACACAATTATTGAGACGCCGGCCATGTTGAAAATTCAGCAACAAAAATTAGATAAGCAGACTGAACAGAAGGCAATGCAACAGAACAATGTAACCACACCAAAAAAGAATATTCCCATTATGGTGGGTGAAGGGAAACCGGTAAGTTGGATATTGGATCGTTGTAGAGTGTATTCCGAGGAGCTCCCCAAGATATGTAAATTTATGCAAGAATATTCATGAGCTGAAAGTTCAGTTCGGCACCAGCAGACTTGAACAACCCATTGTTAAACTTCAAAAGAACATCAATTACTGTATAAAAATAGGACAATTTAAATCTAAATACATTTGAACATTTTTAGGACATTGTAGCAAGGTTCTGCTGACCTATTTCTTAGCGTCGTTTAAATAGTCAATTTCCCAAAATGCCGGCCATAAATATTTGATGTGTAAACATAAGACTTGAGGTATAGCTAGCACTGATTTTAATATAAACAATTATTTCCAAATACAATGTAATAAAAAAGAATTGTAGTGAATCACACTGAAATAAAAACGTGTGCTTTACCGACAAAGCGGAACTATGCATCCATGCAAATTCTGGGTCTGAAGTTCAAATACGTGTCAGCGACTTTCTTCAAGTCACGTAATAGTACTGTTTCCATGCATACATTTCACAAAATTACGGGACGTAAGTATTTGCTAAGTCACGTTGCATTGTTGACGTAAAACATTGGATGACTTGAATATCTTGCTCTGATTTGAATAATACAAAATATTATTTCCCAATAAAAACACTTTAGTGTAGCGCACTGAAATAAAAACTTGTATGCCATAATTCATAACATCGTGAGTACGCAACTTTAATTGAACGATGGATCGACGATACAGTTTCCAAACTAAAATACCATTATGTTCGCATTCTGCAAATATTAACAGCTATAAGTATAGTTATAGTATAACAATGGGATTATATAATGAGTACACTACTGTGATAAAAGGCTGGATCGGTGGCACACAGTTTCCGATGTAAAATACCATTACGACAAACTATCACGATCAAACTGCATGAATATAATTAAGAAGCTTTCGTTGACTTGGATGCACTGGCACTAAATACAAATTTGAAATCTCTAACAGGACAAGAATCTTGAACTTTGAACCATATTCTATTAATTTTTCAAACATTGGGCAGCTACTTTTTCTACTTGACTCTGACTAGTTAAACATGTTCGTTTGCGGATAGAAAAAGGCTGTTTCTGGGTGACGTCATTAAAAGGTAATTAGTGAAATCTTCGAAAATATGGTAGCTCCCCGGACCTCTGTGGATACCGGGTCGGAAAGTTTATGTCGTGGAGTGTATTTCATCATAGTGGGTAAGGGGAAACCAAGGGGTGTAGGATATTGTGGAATTTATTATGGACTATAGCAATGGTTAGTTTTCAAAGTTATTCATTTTTTTTTTAAATTCAAATTTCATTTTGTTTTCAAAGAATCCACTTGCAAAACAAATAGAGACAAGGACACCAGATGGCAGGCGGAGGATAACCCCACTTTGTATTGCACCACAGGTTGATTTAGGGTAAGTGAGCATCTCAATGTGTGGTTTACAATCTTCATATGCATTATGGTGTGTTTAAAATTGACATGAAACAAAAATGTGTAGATTAAAGTAACATTGCAGGAACAATGGATGGTTTGTCCTATAGTGTCAGTTATCCCCATTATTATATTGTCGTAACTAATACATCGCTCTGCCCTAAAAACTATATATACTAAAGTATGTTGTTTTTACAGTACTGTGCCTGAACCATTCAGCATTACATCACCTTTTGGATCACCTCAGCAATCAACTGAACAAACTTGTGATGCATCTAGTAATCCTCCAAGCAAGACATTAGAATCTGTCACGGCACTCCTGCCTTCAATCACGGTATGTCATCACATTCCTTACATGTTTATGAGAATTTCATTGTTTCTATGGAAACTATGTATGTGTGAGATATATTTCAAATCTACTTATCTTCTGATCAATTAGACGCATAATGCTCGCGCTGTTTCACATGTACTTCTCATTCATTACACGCATACAGATTAAACTCACATGGACTTACTTTCCATTTCATCACTCACATACCACTCACACTATGTATTCATCATCTCTATTACTCACATACAGCTTATAATATTTCACATGTACTTATCTTCTATTTCATTACTTACAAAAAACTTGCACTATCTCACATGTACTCATCATCTCTATTACACACATACAGCTCACACTATCTTACATGTACTCATTTTCACGTACATTACTCACATACAAATGTACTGTTCAAACTGTCTCACATTTACCTATCTTCTCTATTACTCACATACATTGTACAGCTCAAACTGTCTTACATATACTCATATATTTTTTACTCCTGTGTGCAAAGCACAAAAAGGGAGTCTTTGCAGTTAGTGTGTCTGTCTGTGTGTGTGTCTGTTCCAATGATATCTCAAGAACCATACATTGATTTTTGATGAAAATTTGGTGCATAGATGCTCTGGGCCAATGCGCAGATTTGATTAGGTTTTGGTAAAAATCTATGCATATTAATTACCTAATTTGCATGATAATTAGCTGATTTTTAGCTGTTCCATGACTGTTCCACTGATATCTAAAGAACCAGTCATTGGATTTTGAAACCTGGCACATAGATGCTTCAAACTAATGCGCAGATTTGATTAGTTTTGGGTAAAAATCTGTGCAATATTAATTAATACCTAATTTGCATAATGGTTAATCAATTTTCGGCTTTTCCACTGATATCTCAAGTACTAATCATCACATTTCAATAAAACTTGGTACATAGATGTCATAGGACACTGCACAAACCTGATAGTTTTTAGGGTAATATCAGCACATATTAATTACCTAATTTGCATAATTAATCTTCAGCTTTTGATATTTCAAGTAGTAATCATCACATTTCAATGAAACTTGGTACATAGTTACTTATTAAGGACTATGCATACCCCTGATTAGCTTTTGGGTAAATATTTGTGCCTATTAATTACCTTATTAGCATAATTAGTTAATTTTCAGCTTTTTGTCTGATATCTCAAGTACTAATCATATTTCAATGAGACCTGCTACATAGATCTTCTAGGACTATGCAGAGACCTGATTAGTTTTAATTGGATATTAATTACCTAATTTGCATAGTGTTCCACTGATATATAAAGAACCATAAATTGAATTTTAATGAAACATTTAAAGAGAACTATGCAGAGACCCATTTAGTTTTTGGTAAATATTTATGCTATTAATCATCCAATTAACATAATTAATTAACACTGATATCTCAATTACTGATCATCACATTTGAATAAAATTTGGTACATAAATGCTCTAGGACAATAGACAGGCCTGATTAATTTTGGGTTAAAATTTGTTCATATTAATTCTCTAATTAGCATAATAATTTATAATTTTTTTGTTCTGTTTATATTAGTTACCTGATTTACATAATTAGTTTTCAGCTTTTCCATCAATATCTCGTGTACAAGTAATTTTAAATTAATTTTTGATGTGTCTTCAATCAGTGTTCTCCCCAAGATGTAAACAGCGTGGCGGTCCCGCCACAGTGCTTCGATTTGCCGCCACACCGGTCTGACACCGCCACGGTGATTAGCAAGACCGCCACAGTGCTTCTTTTCATTGGGGGATCTCGTCACGCTGGTCGACCTGACCGGCACTCGAAATTAGCGACCACCGCGGAAACGCTTCCGATTATTGTCATATTGTTATTATACTTACGTACCGACGGACACGCATCCTG